GTAAAAATTGTAAAAACAAATAAAAAATAATAAAGCATTTTTTCTATTTTTAAAAATACCTATTTTGTAGTAGGTATTTGAGATTCACGTGCATATCTGGTCTATAACAACAATTACCTGTGTATTTGGTCATTAATGTGATTATCCGGTTTATAACGATAATTACCTGTGTATTTGGTAAATAACGTTAATAACCGGTGAATTACGTTAATTTCCATTTAACATCATTTACCGTAACATATATATACAGTAGATTCTCGTTATATCGAATCTCAAGGGGAATTCAAAGTAGTTTGAGATAGCGACGTTCGACATATTAAGAATCTACTGTATATGCATGTGCTACATCAGTTACAAATTAACAATGAATAATAATTAAGTGTTAGCTGTAGGAAGTGTTTTTTTTATACATAACCTAACCTAACTTATATTACAACATATATATAATAGATGTTATCATAATTATATGTTTGCACAACTCTCCTTTAAAATGGAATGCATAGGCACGAAGAAATTACTGCTGGTACTATTGGTTAATGAATAATACTAAAGACAACATTAATTGTTAACCAATTATTGTAGGTAAGGGTATCTTAAAGGTATATTGCAATAAAATAAGAAAGAAAAAAAATGAAACTTTTCAAATGTAGGTACTAATCAAACATGGGTATCAATTAATGTTATTATATTTATTTTAATATAACACATTAAACTCAATACAATTAAAATTATATAAAGTAGTATATAAATGATATGTATAATACATTTTTGCATGCCAACCACATAAAAATAATACAATATTTTAAGGATAGTTACACCATTTGAGGAAGCATATTTATAATTTATCACATGTATAATATGTAGTTTTCTTGTTTTGAAAGTTGTTTGAAATATTAAAAAAAATAATATTAATACGTATAAGCCAATGTAAAGGTTAGTATATATAAAAATATAAGGTGTGATTGCAGTAATTAAACTTGGTAATACATATATATATATACATATATATATTAGTATAACGTTACATGTATGTTTTAAGAAATTGACATTGTCTTAACAATCGACACACCAAGCTCCTACTAAAACTCTTAGCTTTTAAATAAATGTACTGCAATATGTCTATCCAATTCGTGCATTCAAATTACTTATAAACATATATATATATATTTTTAATATTATTGATATACATATTTTAAATAATAATGCAAGTATGTGCATTCTCATAACGGTGTAATGTACCTATATTTATTGTACATTATATTTGCTTAGGTAGGTTAATTTTTAAATTATTAAATTAAATAATTCTTACATTGCAAAGGATATATATATGCATGTAATAATAATAGTAACATTTACAATTTATGAAGCTGAATACTTACGTATATCAATACTACGTGGGATCGCAGACCATGCCCCGGGCGTGTATGTCCGGTTCTCGTATGAGTGTTGAAATCGGAAATTCAGATTCTGAGTTTGAGTGTCTAGTTATCAGTCATCTCGGGTGAAAGTCGATTCCCGAACGGACAATCCGCCTACAGCGAAAAGTGCTCGAAACGGCCGTTCAAATCTGGAAAAGCATACAGGAGGTAACAAAATTGTATTTTTTGATAATTATAGAGAACACTTATCAAGTGTTTTATGTTAGGCTTCATTGTAATCAATGTACCTAATCATTGTTATGTTTTCGCGGTTATAACAAATAAATCGACAAAATCTAATTTTCTGATTGGCTGCTATTTTTACCGCGTCAAGAGACATCTAATGCATTGCCAGCTGCATGTTGTTTGGTTTTTATCAATCATTTCTCAAAACATCTTTTAAGTGAGTACACGTCGGTTATAGTATTAAAATAATATTTCTTAGGTTATGTATCGAACAATTTCATACGTATTTGAATAAAAAAATTTTTTTTTTTTTTGAAATCTAGCATGCCGAAAACGGTAGCCACCATTACAACGGCCTTGGTATGCGGGTGTATAATGCACCCGTGTACCACAATGCTGTGCCCGTTCGCCGTCCGGGAGGAAACGCCCGACGTAAGTATCTAATAAAAAAAAGCACATGCGTATTGCATAAGCCAAGTATAACACTAAACATGATTTGTACGTTTCAGGATGTTACAGGTGCCAACAGGTGGGTCACCTAGCGAGGAATTGTGGTAAGTTTGTCCTATTATTTATTTTTTCACGTGCTAAGCTTTTGTAAATTTTATCAGACTCCCCCTGCGTGGTACCTAATAGCGTTTTCCACCTGACCGCACTGTCGCACCAAAGTGGCACTGGTACAGTTCACTGATAATCGTTCTAGTGCAGGTTGGTGCAAGTGCAGATGAAACATACAATTTGTTTATCATTTAATTTCTCTATATAGAATTCATATCAATAGCTATTATTATTATTATACAGATTACAGATAATACAAATAATAATTCATTACAAATTAAAACAATTTTCATCACAATTTCATTAAATTTATTACAAATTATTATTATTAATTATTATGTCTGAATATAATTTACAAATAACAATCGGTAGTAAACCGTTTTTTTTTGTGGTTGATGAATCAGCCATAAATTATTTTCAGCAAACTGGTAAGTATTTTATATTTATAAAGTATGAGTCCGGCATAAGCCCAACTAGGGGGGTACTTTAGCACTCCCAAATCTCCAATTCAACACCACCTGGTCACTGTTATAAAACACTATATATAATGTGAGAAAAAAAAAATAAAAAAAACAGGGAAAAAAACTGTGGGTCAGCTGACCTCCCAAACCCCCCCTGGGTCTGCCCCTGTCATGGACCATTCACAATTTATTTATCCAATACTAAATATTTTTATTTATAGTAACAACTTTAAATTTAATATTAATTCAAATTCAAATTCTTTAAAGAATTTAATTTAATTTAATTTTACATTTCATGGTATATAGGTCCAAAAGATTGTTTGGAAACAGTGCTAGACTTTTTAAAAAACTGTTTAGATGATGGATCTGTAAATCTTAATATGGATACTATTAATAATTCTAGGATAAAAGTTACAATTCCTGAAAGGTAAATCAAAAATTTTAAGTTATTATATTCTCCTTTGTACAATAACCAATGTATTAGCCTACAACTAAAGTATTCAATGGGTATGTTTTATTGTCAATTTTAGAAATACTGAGTTCATTGTTCAACCAGCAATGCCTATTGATTGGAATGATTCAAATGACAATGTAAATATTCTGGAAATGGATATTTCTAAGATATTCGACAACAATTTGACAAATAGCAAGTCGGTGCATCTTCTATAAATGTAACCCCTTCCCCACCTAAACAATTGCACCTAGAGAAGATAGAATAGAAATTAAAATTAAGAGAGATAGTATTGAAATGGCACCAATTGTAGACAAAATAAGAAAGAATAGGCCATTTACTAATTTAAAATTGTATATTAATTAGTTAAATTTAAAGCTGTGAGATTATTATTAACAGTTTTTTCAGTCTTGGGCAATATTCCGAATAAAGTATTTAGAATACTGTATTTTGAATATATTTGAAAGTATTCCAAATACCTACTATAATCAGGATACTATTTTTACCAAATATTTGAATATTTATTCTGAATACTAATTTGCAAGAATGTTCGAGTATTATTCCAAATAGTTTTAAAAAGTAATTTACCCAAGACTGAGTTTTAACTATCTACATGTAATAAATTCATAAATCATTTTTACATTTCCTACTTATATAATATAAGAAAACATGTCACAAACAATTCTTTATTACTAATCAGATAGTGAAACAAAAATTGAAAATAAATATATTTTGCTCCCCCCCCTAGGCTCTTGAAATAAGTTGAGATGGTGTGATAATAAAATGAGGATAGGTGACCTTTTATAATATATCCTTATGAGTTATGATATTGTCTACATTATTGATACTTTTTACATTTTTATAATTATAGAAACACTAAACCACAGGACACTATAGATTACAATAATTTAAACTCGTCTGGCAGCCAAAGTATTTTGCAAGTACTAAATCACACAGATATGACGGAAACAAATCCTTCTAATTCAGCCAATGGTAAGAGTACCCTGAGTACCCAATATTTTTAACAGGGAGTGCAGTATAATTTGTATTAAAATCAATTTTGAACATTTAATAGAACACCAAATTATTTTTAAGGAAAAGAAATAAAAGAAGGCAATGGTGTATGGAGCGAAGGAATCACTAAATTTATGTTGGAAAAATATTCAAAATATATGAGTTATGTTGGACCCATGAAAAAATTCAAGAACAAAAAATCTATGTGGATACAATTGGCTTCTGATATTCAAGAGGAATTAAATGTAGATTTCTCTTATATTAAAGTTGAAAACCGTTATAAGACAATTTGTAAAAGAAAAAAGTCCATAATTAACAATAACAGAAGCACAGGTGCATCACGGATGGATGATGAGTACGAAGAAGAATGGAAAGAAATAACTAACAATGATGATAGCATATTGCCAGAAGTATTACGCAGTACTAAAACAGTTGTCATTAACAAAAAAGATTGTTTAGAGCCAAAACAAAAAAAAAGAGAACAGACAACAACGAGACCATGTTATTAAATTTTCTTAAGGAAAAGGAGATTGCAAAAGAAAGGCGCCACAATGAAAAAATGAATCTCCTAAAAAGTCTTTTAGGAGATAAATAATATGTGACCCATGTTTATACCATTGATTATTATTTTATGTGTATAAAGAGTGAAATATTCAAAAACTGTATTATAATTTGTAAATTTTGTTAAAGACTGAGAAAAGCTTTATTAGTGTTTAATTAGTTTACTTAGTAATTTTTACAAGAAGTTATTTATGTACCTTATATGTATGTTATTTTTTATGTTTGCACATACATTAATTTGTATGCATTTGTTCAAAACTTTAAAAGACAATTTAAACATAGTTTGTTTTAAAAAAAATAACTGAAAATGGTTTATTAGATATTATAATATATTACTAAAAATGTGTTAAATCATTCATCAGAAGTGTAGCACTGAAAATATTGTAAGCTATTTTTTAGTGCCTCGCGTTTAGCTTCTCCTTTTTTTCTTAAGACAGTGTCCGAGTCGATTGAATAAACATTTGGTTCTGCTGCTAGTGTTAATAGTATTTCATTATCCAACTCAATGTAATCTTCCATATCAATGCACATATTGTGTAATACACAACATGAAATAATAAACTTAGTTATTTTGTCCACATCATGTATATCAACCTGAAGTAGTTGTCTCAACCGCGATTTTAGTAGTCCAAATGAATTTTCAATTAAAACTCTAGTACCACATAACATTTTGTTAAATTTAATTTGGGTGTCTGTTAAGTTTCCATAATTTTTGTATGGTACTAATAGCCAATCTCTTATACTATAAGCACCATCTCCAATATTATCATAATTCATAATAAGTTTTTCGAAGTTCGAACTCAATATGGATAGGCATACAATTATAAAAATCATGGATTACCTTTCCTCTAGCGATAGTGATGATGATGATGAAATTATAAAGTGTTTTATGTCCAGAAAAATAAGAATAATACCAAAAATTAAAAGTTATATTTCGGACATAGTTCATGTTTATACAGATAAACAAGTAGAGTTTTTTATTATAAATATAAATAGGCTTCAATGTAATTAATCCGATTATAATAATAATAATTTTTTTTTAGTTTAAAGGTAGTTTTAGGGTGGAAAGATCTACTGCATACAATATTGTAGAAAAGTTTGAAAATTCTATTTTTTTTCCAAGAAAAAATTTGAATGAATCATCTGTCACTTCAGAAAACCATATACTTTCCTTTTTATGGTAAATTTATAATTGACAAAATACTATTCTAAATCCTTTAGTTATTAAAATAAAATGGTTCAGGTTTTCTGCAAATAAATGTTGCCTACGTGATGTGTCAGAACGGTTTGGTGTTGGATTGACCACACAATTTCGTATCAACAACAGGGTTATGGACTTTCTTGTTGATATTTCAGCTACTATTATAAATTTAAACGAAGGAACTGTTAATTTATCTCGAGAGTTTCAAAAAGTAAATATACAAATTAAGCTTTTTTTGCCTTACATAAGGTTATTTTTACTAAATCCATATCAAATTTAGGTTTCTGGACTTCCTGGTGTAATCGGGTGCATCGACGGATCTTCAATACCTATAAGAACTCCTGCTCACAAACTTAAAAGTACATATACCAATAGGCATGATATGCCAATATGCCATCTATTACCCTGCAAGCTATATGTGACTACAAAAAAAAAATTATTGATGTATTCACCGGTGCACCAGGAAAAATCCATGATTCAAGAGTATTTGCTCTGTCAGACATTATTAAAGAGCTTCCTTTAATATGCGAAAATAAATACCATATTATTGGTCATGATCTATATTTTTCTTTATAAAACGTTCTACCTTGTACAATAATGAATAAAATATTGTTTTTAAATTCGTTTGTCATTTTTATTAATATCAATACTGCCATATCAGTACTTTTCGTGATAATGATAAGGCGCACGAGCTCCAGGAGCTCGTGCAACTATCACTGCACTGAGTGCAAAAAACTCGCATAGTGCAGTAACGTGGAACATAAAATTAGTAATTTAGTGCGCACTGGAATAGCTGATGAAACATAAAAAAGTGCACTAGTGCAGCCACAGTGCAGCTAGTGCGGTTAGGTGGAAAACGCTAAGAATGTGATAGTAGATAGAACAATACGGTCACACAGAAGAGTAAGGAGAGGGGTGTACCAATAGGTACTACAACAGGCGGAATCCGCTTATACGAATACCGAATAACTGTGAGAAGATAGACAAAATAAAGCTGGAAACACACCGGCTGCAACATTTTGTTGCGAAACGTAGTTCAATGTTGCACGTTCCGCATTTTTTGTAGAATCAAATGATACTGGCGAGCATTGCGTGCAACACTGTCTCGAAACGTTGAGCATCGTATCGCAACACGAGGGCGCCGTTGAGCTGCCGAAGACATCTTGCATCAATTTGTTCGCAACGTCCATAGCCATAGTACACGTATATTGTGTTAATATTATAATAAATATTAAAATAGTGTAAAAACAATTTTACCTATATTTTTTTATACTTGTACTTATACTTAAATATGGATATTGACGCGGATCGACTGCTCGTGCTTGTTGAGGTTCGACCCGCCAGCATATAAGCAAACCATACATTGCTAGAGACCTCTCATTGGTCCTATTATATTTGTGATAACATGATAAAATTATCAATATTTTCAAATTTTATGCTTTTTCTAATTAGAATAGATTTGTTAATTAACATTTTTAATTATTTAATAAAATGATTTATCCGCCATCATTTAAATATGAAATTGTCAAAGATGACAATGTAAATATAACTTTAAGATGTGATGTGAAATCTATGGAAGACATCAATGTGTGGGTTGCATCATAGGCGCAACTAGGGGGGGGGGCTAGAGGGGGCTAAGTCCCCCCAGTTTGCCAAATAGCCCCCCCAGTTTTTTTTCATGTGACTTAAATTTAAACGTACAAGAAAACAGCCGAATAGATATGAGAACTTTGTGGTGTTAGAGAAAACTGGAGAAGAAAATGAAGATAACGATAAAAATGTACAAAAATTAAATTTAATAAGACCCATACCAAGTTCCAGCTCAGAATCAAATGATAGCAGCAAATTTGAAAATGTATTAAACTTATTAAACCTGTGTAATACTTCATATGGGTCATCGTCTATGGAAATAAAAAAATTAGAACGAAGGCTTAAAAAAATGAAAAGCAAAGGGCAATGGGAAAATTGTTTACATACAGCAGGGAATTTTGTACCATTGAGAAATAGAGATGGTGCAACTATTAAGGTTCAACCTACCACAATAGCTCGACGAAGTGCAGGTATAACAAAAGGTAGCAAACGGTTATTAGCTGATAGACCTCCATTAGGAGAAAATGTTGCTAAAAAAAGGAAAAGAAATTTGAAGCAAAATATTAATTGTAATCAACCTAATGCTAAAATTCACGGTTCACTTTAAATACCTATTTGTAATTTTAAAATTTATTTTTAATTTTTAGTATTTTAAAACTGACTATAATATGGACGGTCTCTGTGCAAAAGGGCACAAGTCAATTTTAGCCATTTTCGGGTTAAGTATGAATTTTATAGGAAATTTTGTGCTGCGTTTAGTGGTACCACTGTTTTAAACACATCTCCAATAATTATCAAATTATTTGATAGTGCGATAAGTCATTAGTCATGATTATATAATTTTCTTGGTGTAAAAGGGCTTATGTCAATATCAAGTTATGTGTAAAAGGACAATATTCGAAATTGTGTATGCGGCTTTGTGCAAAAGGGCACAAGTCATTATTTGAAGAATTATTATATTATTATTCTGTTATTTTGATGTCTGGGTTGAGTATAGGAAATTTACTTTGTCCATAACAGTATTATCTCTTTGCTATAAATCTAAAATATTAAATAATAATTATCTAATACAAATCTCTTAGATCTAAATACCTATATTACCTTTTTGTGTAGCATTGCTGAACATTTTAATAAATATGTCGAGAAGAACCAATAAGATATTAGGACTAGTAAGTGGTGAGTATTACCTGAGCAACACTTGGCCCTACGTTACATGTCTACAGTATAATGTTATGACTCATTTTAAAAATATGATGTTTTAATTTTATAACAGATTCTAATGGTTGTAATATTAATTATAAAGTCCCTAAACCACACGTGCGTAGAAATTTAATCAGAGAGCTGAACTCAACAAAACACACTTCATTTTACAATTGTAAAAAAAATGTATCAGTAAGTTAACCTATAACATCTGAAGACTTAAGAAAACCCTACACAAGCATACAACATAGTAAACTTGTGTTCAGTAGAACCAATTTTGTGTTTTAAGCCGAGTGAATTTATCTATATTATCCAAACTTAGAGCTATGAACATCATAGAACATTTTTTTATCAGATAACCATTTTACTTGGCTTATTATCCAAGTATCTAGTTAGTTTTAATAATTCTTATCCTTTATACTTATCTGTTTTAATGTAGGAATGGATTAATAATAATGACAGTGCAAAATATAAAAAGCATGACGGTAATTTTGTAGATTTGGAAACTATTAATCCACCTGAACAAATTTTATCTTTAGTCAAAGTAAGTTTTATGTTCTCAATTAAAATTATTTTGAATAAGTATGTGAAGAAATTAACTTTTTAACACATTCTCTCTTAATTACTAAAAAAATGAAAAATATTATTCACCTTTCTCATGTTTTTATACTTTTCTTTTACATTGTACCTATTCTTCAAATATTTTTTAACAGTGTTGATTCTTATAATATGTAGAATATCTGATGGCTTAATCTGCTACTTTTACATTTTAAACTTAAATAATAATATAAATTATTGACATAAATTTGAGCTATTTATAATTAAAAGTTTATAATATTATATATTAAGATAAATTAGTAAAAACAGTAAACATTATAATTAGAAATAGCCAAATAACTTAGGAAGAAGACATTTTTCTTAAATTCATAAATTATTAGTGAATTATTTTATTTTGGATTAAAAGAAAAAAATAGTCTAGTCATTTATTTATTTTTCATTAAAAATAGGATGATGCTAATAAGGTTATTGAGAATGCTAAAAGTTTAAATGAAGACATACCTATGCAGGAAGATGATATAGGAATAGGATATTGTGATGTTATGGTAAGCATTTTTTACCATGGTAAAATCATATTATGTGAATTATGATAACTACTAATTAGTAGCTACACATTACACAATTTCTATTATTTATTTGTATAGAATATAGACAACTTTGAATATATATTTTTAAACGAACCTGAACAAGCTACAGTCAATATTCAAAACAAAATAATATCAAATACAATTTTTGAATCTGAGGTAGGTTAGAATTAGATCCATTATCTATTATTTTATAAATTAAAAATTAAAATAAATCAATTTATTGAATAGACTATAGAAGAAGTTGAACATTTTCAAAATGAATGTGTAGAAACAGTTGAGTGTGTTGGAGTTTTTGAACATTTGGTAACTAATAATATTATAGATTTAGCATTAAAGAATTAGTATATATTATTTTTACTTAAAAACGTTTTTTACTATTGTTAAAATAGCAAAATTATAATTATCAGGAAAAAGCAAATGACATAATAAATTATGTGCCTGAAATCTGTATGCCTATAGTTGAAGAAAATGTTCATACACGAAATGAAAAAAAAAAGAGAGTAAGTAAGAAAAATGACACAAGACAACGTAGAAATGACATAACACTAAAAAGAAATTCGGGTGATGAGTATAAGACAAGGACGGGAAAAACGATGGATAAGCGAGTTTGTGTACCCTTGGTTAAATGTAGAGCAAATTGTCTAGAAAAAGTTGATAGCGAGTTACAACAAAAAATATTTACCAATTATTGGTCTTTTAAAATGTATGATAGGCGAATCACATTTATTTCTGGTTTAATAACAAGTAGCGATAAAATTACACAGAGAAAAAGAAGAGATACCCCGGAAAAACAAAAAAATCGAGATAAAACATATCATTACTCTATTCCCAAAGACGGTAAAAATGTTTTAGTGTGTAGAGGGTGCTTTTTAAAAATATTCGGGGAAACTGACAAATTTATTAGAAATATCTGTCTTAAAAAGATTAATTCTCCCGTCAATACCTGTCCACCAGATAAAAGAGGAAAGGCTGTACCGCGAAATAAATGTTCACCTGAAGTTATAAAAAATATAACTAATCACATTGACAACCTTCCAGCATATCAAAGTCATTATTGTCGTCGTGAAACAAGTAAAAAATATTTGCCTTCCCATTTTACATTACAACATATTTACGACGAATACTCTAAAACTGTAGACAAACCTGTAAGTCGTACAATATACCAAAAATATTTTCAATTATCTGGTCTTAAAATTAAAAGTCCAAAAAAAGATACGTGCTCTACTTGTGATAAATTAAAAATTCAACTGACTAACACAAATTGTTCTAACGAACAAAATATAATTCTGAAAAATCAACAAATTCAACACCATAACGATGCTGAAGAAGCGTATAATATAAAAAAGCAAGACATTGCTACATCGTCTGATAATCATTGTGTACTCGCATTCGACTTACAACAGTGCTTACCAACTCCTAGTTTGGAATCTTCTGTTGCCTTCTATAAAAGGCAACTGTGGACTTTTAATTTTACCATACATGATACCGGGTCATCTATTGCTTCAAATTATATTTGGAATGAAACATTGGCGAAAAGGGGGGCCAATGAAATCGGTTCATCTCTTTATCACTATTTCAATAATTTGCCATCAAACGTTTCCCATGTGACCATGTATAGCGACTGTTGTCCAGGACAAAATAAAAATGGAATAATTATGGCCATGTGCCTTTATTTTTTGGAAAGACAAGAAAATGTAAAGATCATTGACCATAAATTTATGGTTCCAGGTCATTCCCGAATGGAATGCGATTCGGACCATGCGAAAATTGAAAAGGCAAAAAAACGTTACCCCTTCTCCATAAATCATCCACATGATTGGTTTAAACTTATCCAATGGGCTGGAAAAGATAAATTTATAAACACTGAAATGAAACAAGATCAATTTTTTGATTTTGGTAATTTATTGAAAACAAAATATCAAATGAAGAAAAAAAATGAAAATGGAGACATTTTTCTATTTCGTAATGTTAAATGGTTCAGGTACGAAAAAGAAAAAAAGACATTAGTGCAATATAAAGGTACATTAAACGCAGAAGATAAATTTGAAGAAATAAATATGATTCGCAGAAAAGTAAAAAGTGATGTATTACCAAAGGCCTATAACGAAATCTTACCGATAGCCGACGAAAAAAAAAAGGACCTTCTTTCCCTTTTACAATTCATACCAGAAGTTTATCACCATTATTATTATAATTTAAAATCAAACACAGATAATGTTAATGATGCAATAGTTTCATCCGAAGATGATAATGATTCCTAACTCCTAAGTGGGAAATATCTACAGTTTTATTAATTATATTTTATTAAGTTAATGATTTGTGCAAAGAAGCGTATTTGTTATTTTAGTTTTTAAGTTATATCTTAATACAAAATAGTTTTTATATTTTTATTATTTTGTAAGACGTAAATTGTATGTTAATCTGTTATTCTTTAATCTGTTATTTTAAATAAAAAATATGATTTGTGATAATTCTATAGAATCTATAGGTGGTACCTTTAGATTAAACTTACTGTTTTTAATAAAATATAATTAAAAAACGTGCTACTTTTTAAATACCTACCTAATTGTTTTCGATACAATTTTTGTAAATTTATATTCAACTTGATAAGTATAAAAGTTATTAAAATATCGTAATTGATTTTATTATTTTGGGAAAAAAGGATTTATAATATTAATAATCATTTTCTTATTGTGCAATAGGGCACAAGTCAGTGAAATTCATTATTATTATATTGTAGTTGGGCACAAGTCAACAAAAATACGATTATTCCATTATTTAGTCATAAAGTGTATGATCATTAATTTATTAATGGTCTAAATAAACTATTTCAAACATTAAACGTATTAGATCATCTAATTAAATTATAAAATAATGTTTTTTGTGTCTCCTGAAAAGTAGTGTTTTTTGACTTGTGCCCTTTTGCACAGAGACCGTCCATATGTATCTATACACTTAATTTGAATTTGAATTTTAACTAGAAAACTTATACTTTATTATTATTATGAATTGTAGAAATTGATTAGATGTACATACCTATACACGTGATTTTAATTTTAACTTGAGAACTTATATTTTATTATTATTATGAATTGTAGAAATTGACTTGATGTACATACCTTTTTTTTTTTTTTTTTTTTTAAACCGCAGACAGGGAGGGAAGTAGGTTTCCCCATTGCTGCCTCCCTGCCTACATCATTTATTGATAACAACAAACAAACATCACATTACTGAATAATACAATTACTATACTAACAATACAATAACAATACTTTTGGCCGTTTCAGCCCACATCATCAAGACTTAACTACGGTTCATTTCCTTCATTGTTGGGGATTTGGATCCTGGCGCTGCTGATGTTGCCTTGCCCTTTCCATCTCCTCCTTCTGACCCATGATCAATTCCACCATGTTGCAGAACAGCTGCCTGTGGGTGGTAGCGGCAGCACACAACCTCTTCCCCTGTGCTGGGTCGTCGGGCAGGTCATCTGGGTGTAATCCGCAAAGGAGATAGGTAACGTCCTCCGGGCGTACAGCCTTCCGCAGAGCTGTTGTTAGCTCCGCCCTTGCTGCATCCCATTCCGGGCAGTAGAATAGCGTGTGCTCTGCGTCATCATTCGCGACTGGGCAGTGGACGGACTCCGGACTGTTCTGCCGCTTCTTCTGCCAGAGGTACTTCTGGAAGCATCCATGGCCCGTTAGGGCTTGGGCCATGTGGAAACTCACCGTCTTCGGGCCGTGGTACCACCACCTGGACAAGTCAGGGATTAGCCGTTTCGTCCATTCGGCCTTTGTTGTCGCCTCCCAGAGACCTTGCCATTGTCGGACAATCTCCACAGTTGTTTCGCACTTCGTTGGTGTGGCACCAGTTCTCTTCGCCATAACTGTTCTCCTCCTGCTGACGGCCTGAAGAGTGACTGGGGGCATTCTGGCCAGCACGAGGGCGGCCATATCTGACACCGTGCGATAGCATCTCGCGACCCTCAGCGCAGCGACCCTCTGCGCTTGCAAGAGGAGGTTGCTGCTCTTTTGGGTCTCCAGAACCCGCTCGGACCAGATAACTGCGCCGTAGAGCAACCGGCTGTGTACTACACTCATTAGGAGGCTCCGCTTGCCTTGTGATGGGCCGCCTACGTTTGGCATAAGCCTCGCCAGGGCAACCGCTGCCTTCTTCGCCCCAGCTGCAACCGTGCTGGCGTGTTCGACGAACGAGAGTCGGGTGTCCAGCCGAATACCGAGGTATCTTACCGAGCGCTTGACCGGGACTTGACAACCTTGTATGTGCAGGCTTGGCTCTCGAAATGAGCGTTTCTTCGTCAGCACTACGCACTCTGACTTCTCTGGTGCCAGACGGAGGCCATTGGAGGACATCCAACCGACAATGTCTTCGAGGGTGGGGTTAACTAGCTGTTCGATGAGCTCCGCGTTGTGCGCGACTGCCACCACTGCTACATCGTCTGCAAACGCAATTATTCTTATGCCATCTCGCACCGGGAGTCGGAGAACGCCATCGTAAAAAATGTTCCATAGGAACGGTCCCAGGACTGAACCCTGCGGGACACCACATGAGACGGGCATGCACAGGTCCTCGTCCACTGCCAGGTTCCTGGCGTGCATGTACGATCTAAGAGCTCTTATCAGGTACTCCGGTGCAGCGGATCTCCGAAGAGCTTCGTCGATTAGGTTCCACGGCGCCGAGTTGAAAGCGTTCTTAACGTCCAACGAGATGAGTACGCATAGGTGCCTGTCCTTCGCTGGGCCGCGATTGGCTCTCTCGACCACTCTCAGGACATCCTCAACTGCGTCAGTGGTTGACATTGACCGTCTGAAACCATACTGCGAATCGCTGATTGCTCCGGTACCTACGATGTGCTCCTCAAGCCTGTTGAGCAAAATCCTCTCAAAGACCTTGCCAGCCCCGTCTAGCAGACTAATCGGCCGGTAACTGGACGGAAGGTCCGGCGGTTTGCCCTGCCCCTTGTGCAGCAGGACCAACTTCGCACGTTTCCATCGCGACGGGAAATCTCCCTTTGCGAGACACGCGTTGTAGCATTCCAAGAATATCTCTGGAAATCTGCTATACGTTAACCGGATGATCTCGTTCGGAACGAGGTCGGGTCCCGGCGCCTTTCCCGATGGAAGTCTGGCGACGGCGCGACCCACTTCGTCAGCAGTGATTAGAGGCGTCGTAGTGGCCGCATCTGATAGGTCGACTAGGAGTGCCGGTACCTCTATCTCCAGTGGGATGTCTTCCCAAACCGGTGGAGAGGGTGACGGAAACAGTCCGCGGGCCACGGCGACGGTCAGTTCCCGGTCCAGGGTTGGAGTACGACGTCCAAGCCTTTTAGTCACCAGCCTATACGGGACGCCCCATGGGTCGCTATCAACTGCCCGACACAGCTCTGACCAGCTGTTCTCCTGGGCCTTCCGTATCGCCAGCTTGAGCTCAGCCCTCACCCTGCTGTATTTTGCAAGCTCCGGCGATCTGTCCGTCTGTGCGGATCTGCGGCCCGCACGCTGATACACCCTCCTGGCAGCTATGGCAGCCTTCCGCCGTTCAGCGATGGAGTCGTTCCACCAGTGGACTCTCCGCCTCTTCTGGATGATTGTTCTACGCGGCATAGCCGCTTCGCACGTAGCTGTCAGTAGGTCATTGAGCCTCTCGGCGTGCTTTGCAGCGGAGGCGTCGGCCAGCAACGGGCGTGGAGGTCCAGTCAGGTTCCAGAGGACGTTGGCCGCGTCAGGGTTTAACTTTTTGATGGACCACCCCGGTAGCCGTGTGGACGCTGATTCGGGCGGAGCTGCATCAGCCACAGGCAACGTAAATACGTAGTGTATATAGTTGTGGTCACTAGCGGAGTAGACATCATCTAAGACCTCCCAGTCCGAGATAGCTAGGCGGCTGTTGGGTGCAGCGCGCGTGAAGGTGACGTCAATAACTGACGACGCGTTGACCCTTCTGTACGTCGGCTGTGTGCCAATGTTCCTGACAACCAGGCCCAAAGTCAAGGCAAATTCGGACAGCATTGCCCCTCTCGCGTCGTTTGTCGCCGAACCCCACTCTGCAGAATGCGAGTTGAAGTCGCCGGCCACAATTAGACTCGCAGTCGCAACAGGATGGCGACGTATCGACCCTTCTAGACCACACAGGAAGAGGTCGAATTCCTGAAGGGAACAGTTCGGCGAACAGTAGCAGCTGTACACCGTAACCGTCCCGACTCTCGCCCAGGCGAAGCCGATGCCGGCACCTTGGTCGGCGATGACCGTGTCAGACTTGGCCGAAACGTATACCGCACACTTGCCATCGCTGCTACCGACCCAGTGATCAGAGTCGCCCATGGCCCTATTGTAGTCCGATATAACCGCCAGCGTCGCGCCTCTCTCGGCCATCGTCTGCAGCAGAAGCTGTTGCGCCGCCCAGCAGTGGTTCAAATTAATTTGTACTACACCCGTCCCAGTTGGTGTGGAACCGCTCCGGGGGTGACTCTGGTAGTGGCTGGTCATAGCTTCTTCCTACCCTCCTCGTCGACAGTCTTCGCGAACGCGTTTATCGCCGTGGCTGAAGCGTTGCAGCTGGCAGCCTTGTGTCCTACTTCTCCGAATCTTCGGCAGCACTCTGTCCTGTCCTGTCCCACGCAGTCCTTAGACATATGCCCAAAAGCCAGGCAGTGGAAGCACCTGACCTTTGGGTCAGCCAATCTCACCCTGCAGTTCACCCATCCGACCCGCAGTCTGCCCGAGCTGGCCAACCCGCGTGAGGAGGCCTGCGGGAGCGAGACCAGGGCTGTCTGAGCGCCCCCAAACCTCTTTCGGAGGCTTAGTATCTTCACAGCATCTAGGTTGACGTCTACAGCATTTGCCACTGCCTCTGCGACCACGTCGGCTCCGGTCCACTCGTCCAGGTCGCGGACTTCCACCGTCGCCCTTTGCTGGAGGGAATGTACCTCGACCTCCGTGCCGGCTGATCTGACGACTTCAGCGCGGACAGCCTTAAACCGGGCCTGGTCACCGCGGATCTCTATAAGAAGGCCGCCGGACTTAGCTTGGCGTACGCCAACGATGCTGTCGCCGATGACGTCGGCGTCGACGCCGCTCCGTATCTTCTTCGCCAGTTCGGGGAAACCTTCGGCACCTACCTTCACCAATAATGCCGCAGGGCGCGTTCTGTTGCGCGGCTGTGGGGTGGGTGTCTTCCCGAGGTTTCCAGCTGCTCTCTCCAGCCGGGGCTCTCTTACGGCTGCTTTCTCCGTTGTTGCCGCTGTCTGCCCTTTCGACCTCCCCTTCCTTACCACCTCCGTCCATGATTGTGGCGCGGCCATCATTTCTTCCCGGGTCATTGACTGGGCTGGCGCAGCGCCGATGTCCCACCAGCAGGGAGACTGCGTGCCGGCTTCTGTAGAAGGGGCTTTTGGTGGGTTGGCGTCACAATTAGTTCTCTTTAGTTCCTCCTCCTTTCTGAATAGCCTTTTGGTATCATTGAACGCCATGATCACTTTCTTGTGGCAGCCCTCCATGGCGTTGAGCACTTCCATTAGCTCACTGATCGCGGTTTTAGCTGGTTCTGAACGTAGCTTATCCTTAATACCTTCCAACGCCGCAGCCTTGGCAAGCAGTAGTTTAATGCCTCCGTCTTGAGTTGCCACGCATTGGCCTAGATGACCGAGGGCCAAATAGGCTGACTCCTTACCTGCCTCCGCATGGTTCTTGCCAGTTGCACCGGAGGGGTCCATGGCAAGGGGGAGGTCCGGTGACCCTTGCCCCCTTTGCTACTACCACTTCTCCACTCAGCGGCGAGCAGTGAAGCAGTGCAGGGACCAAATCCGAAGGTATCGGTGCCTGCACTAGCTTCGGGTGTGACTAGTTGGTCACTCACCTCACTGTCCCTATCCTTACTCCTCCCCTGGGGGGGTAGGGGGGTCAAACCTGCGGGAACTTATTGGGGATCGTCCTGGTAGGATAGGGAGCTTCGGGAGGGCTAAATTTTTCTCCCGAGGCTCTAAAATCAATCCTCGACGAGTTATCCTCAAAAAGCTGTTTTTGGAGGCAAATTTAAATTTGCGGCCAAAGGACAAAGGCCAAAGGCCGTCAATTGGCCGCCGACACTAGGCCACACGCCGTCGGCTGGTCCCCGTCGCCTTATCGCGGGGCAGTTCTTCCCCCGACGCGAGAATCGCTGTTTCGCCGGAATTCCCGTTTTCCACACGGCGGCTTTGGGCGGCCGTGTAAAGAGATAGGGGGTAAAGAAAAACTCAGTTTACTCACCCGTTGTTTGTCGGAAAACTTCGGTCGAAGTGGCCACGGCTTCGTCTTCACCGGACGCGTCTTCCGGGCCACCGCGCGTGAACTTTCCGCGTGTGTTTCGGCCCAAATCTTCACGGCGGCACAGGGGCTTGTCCTGTGTGCTTACTCGGCGCCGATGGGTCCTGGGTGGACTTGCGATGCACCGAGCCCTTCGGGAGGGTCCGGTGGGTCTTAATCGGGCCAACTCGAAAGCGACACCGGCCCGAACGCGCACTTTTTATCAAAAAAACGAATAGTGCGTAGCACAGTAGCTCAGTACACGTGTGTGACACGATAATTGAGATTTCTCAGCGAAAACTCAACCGATTTCCACGCGGTTTGTGGCAATCGACGCAGAGCGGACTAATGCGTCGATTCGAACGTTGCGCGCAAAAAACGGTGAGGTATTACCGGGGAAAAACAAAAACTCTCGGGAGCGACGCACGGACACGTCTGCACGCCACGACAGCCACCGCTGATATGCCACTGTACATACCTATACACGTGATTTGAATTTTAATTTGAGAACTTATACTTTATTGTCATTATATTTTATATATGAATCATGTATGAACTAGAAAAACCATAAAATTTGAAAATATTGATAATTTTATCATGTTATCACAAATGTAATAGGACCAATGAGAGCTCTCTATTTCCTATGGGTCTCTAGCAATGTATGGTTTGCTTATATGCGACCCGCCATATATAATTTTAATTTAAAAGAACATCACAACCAGGACGTCATAAACCAATTGTGGAGCGAAATTGGACAAGAATTAAATATTACAGGTACATTATTTACTGTTTATTTTCTAGCTTTTTTTGTCAGCAGAAGTATATGAAAGAAAAAATTGAGAAAGTTTGAGAAAAAATTTGAGAAAGAGGAAAATTAAGTGGTGGTGATGAATAAATAAAAATAATATAATATAAATATATTTATATATTAGTTGCAAACAGACTGAATTATAAATATTAAAGTGATAAAAACAACTTATAACAATAGCTATAATGTTTTATAATTTTTTTTTAAACATCTTGAACGTCTAAAGTCTAGCCATATACTCTGCCATGACACTGAACCAATTGGCGAAACGAAATAATCAACGAAATTTTCTCGAACTTGATATGCATTTCGGGAAGCTCTTGCTCTTGTCGATTCCCTGCTTACGTCACATTTCTTCTACATTTATCATTTCACTGTGTACATCATTAATTATTCCTTCTTTCTTTCTAATAATAATGTGTAACACACAACAAGCCAAAGTTATTTTTGTTGCAAAATCAGGATGGACTAACATAGACCGTTGGAGTATATGAAATTTTTTTGACATCATTCCGAATGCACATTCCACAATCCGACAAGCTCTGGAGTGTCTGTAGTTATATTTTTTTTTTTAAATACATAAAGAAATTTTCTTTTGCGGGATCTATTTTTCGTGGCTTCAATTTAAATATTCTATTCAATTTAAGTTCAATGTTTGCTCGATAAAATTCTTCCCAAAATTTGAAGTAGCAAATACACCTCCATCACTGTGTCTTCCCTCTTCTCCTACGTCTAGGAATAAAAAATTACCCTCCGCATAAACGACTGCTTGTAGTACTATTGAGTTATGATTTTTATAATTGTAATAAGCCGATCCTCCGTGGTATGGCTGTTGAATACGGATGTGTTTACCATCCACGCTGCCACAAACGTTTGGATATTTCCATAATTTCTCAAACTTTTCGGAAATATTTCACCACTTTTCTGGAGTATTGTTAGTCATTAAATAAATGGGAGAAAGTACTTCCCATATAGCTATGCAAGTTTCATTTATTATTTCTCGTGCTGTCGTAGCACCAATGCGCATTTTGTAGTGGATGAATTTAAAACAATCGCCAGTTGCAAGAAATCTGAAATAAAGGGTTATAGTTCAATTTATAAACTTTATTAAATTATCATTTTATTTTTAAAATGTTTAAATATTAATTATTATTAAATTTTAATCATCGAACTTTAAAAATATTATTATTGTTATTTCGGTTTTAGCTATTCAATGTAAGTCCAAATGGCATTCATGACAGTAGCTGTTCATCTGGACCATCCTCCAACATCAGTGATAACACTTCAGCGTCATATCGATACCACCTTCGTTTATACATTTTGGACCTCCAAGTACAGAAAACCAGCAACAAGAATTCCGAAATTAACATCAAAATCAATCGAATTTCCAATATGATACATACATGTAAAATGTATCATGATAAATAAATTAACATATACCTAATGTTGCTATACAAAATATTGTATTTTAAAAATTAAGTACAACAATAAATAAACTATAAAACTTACCTTATTGTTATCAATAATCTTTCCTCAGCTGGAATACTTCTCCTAAAATTTGTATTCAACTTCTTTATTCTGTCTTCAACTAGACCCAAAAGCTCATAAAAGGTTGTAATATTTATTCGGCAGTAGTTATAAAATTTTTCTGGATCGTTTCTTAGTTCATGAATAAAACCAGAAATATTTCTCTTTTGGTTGATTGGATGAACCCAAAATCTATTTTGCTTATCATTTTCCAATTTCAAAAACTCCAAAAATTGCCACAACAAAATATTCACCTCTACTTCTTTATCCATATTTGGAGTAGGGAAACTCACTAAACACTTGTAATAAACTCAATACTTAAACTTAACACTTGTTACTACAACTGATAATCAAGTACTGAAATAATCTTGTTGTAGTAAAACAATTTCAACATTTTGTTGCAGTCTGTGCGTTTCCTTTTTGTTTCGCAACATATATTTTGCAGCAGAATGTTGCGTTGCGCAACAAAATGTTGCAGCCGGTGCGTTTCTAGCTTAATAAAAGCAATAGTCGAACTGTGAGTCGGTATTTTGGTCGGCGGAGCTGACCAGTATATCTGCACCTCCGCGCTTTCCTCGGCGGTGCGGTATGGCAATTGTCGGGTGTTGACTTATCCGAGTTTTCATCAGGTTCCGATACATTTCTTGGTTTTGCTCGGCGACTTTTCTTTGAGGGACGTCGTGACACAACTTATTCAGGTCTCAGGTTAGGTCCAGGATTAGGGTACTAATTTGTGTGTTCCCAACTTCCCAAGCTTAAAAGTTCCATTTTTGTGTCGAAACTTAGAGCCGGTGCTCCTGCACGCGCTCTGTGCGTTGTCTGCTCTAGCCGGTTTTGTATATCGTACTGAATTGATGTCACTTTGCGTGGCACTTGTGGCCTCTGGTAGATGGCGCATAGTGTTTTATAATGCCCTATTATATTGTGGTCATTCTATCTCGTTACATATGTTATGAAATGTATTTAAAAAAGAATACTAGACACTGTTCTGTAAATATCATGTTCTGGTAGACAATTCCTTCATGTTGGAGTGTGAAATACAGTATGCAGAGGTGTTCTCATAATTGTTTTTAAGAGTGCACTAAATTACTAAGCCGTCTAAGTGCCTAGTACTTTATATATCTATAATAAGTTTTTAATATCTTGAGTTTATATGGTGTGTATGTAGTATAGTAGTATACCCTATGTGGGTAAATGGGAATTAAATAATTGAATGAATTGAAAATTGTTGTAATTAATAATTTAAAGTATATTATTATTTATTATATTAATATGTTAATATTTTAATATTCACATAATTTTCTCTTAGATATCATATATAAAATGTAAAGATATTAATATTATAAATAACAGATCAAAATATAAAACAATACATAACTTATTTTACTGTAAAAAACTTGAATGGATGATTCAGATTAATTTTTTAAATATTATATCTAATCCAGAAATTATAATGACTGGGATTTTTCAAATCAAATTATTTAAAGCTGTACAAAATAACAAAAGGGAATGAACTTGGTAATTGTGAATAATATTCACATTATGTAATAAAATGCAATGCTTAAAATATATGTTATTGATACTGTACAGTTATATTAAATCCCCCTTCCAAAAAAAAAAATATAATTTACTTTAATAATTATTGCAAATTAATATAATTACCAAAGCATGCAATAAGCTGTACATAATAATATTATACCTAATTATTATTTTTATTTTAATTAATTAATACTATAATGAATTGTTAAATAATTTTTAAAAAATAATACATAAATACTAATATTTTAGTTAAAATATTTATTGTTTTTAAATTAAAAATAACAAAAAATCAAATTATTTTGATCCAAGTGAGCTCATTGTAAAAGTAGTTTACTTGTGCCTTACCAAACATCATTAAGTCCATTATATTGTCCAAAGAGGATAACTTTCGCCACCATTAGTTTTTACTATTGCGGTAGAGTACCTATATATTATTATTATAACATTATAATTTATCAAGTCATAAATGATCCCAGAACTTTTACATTTTTTGAAAACAATTACCAAGCTAAATACATTTTTGAAGAGAGATGAGAATTCCACTTAAGAGTGCTGGTTACTCCTAAGACCCACCGTAAACACCATACCAATAGGTTCACCAATCCAGCGATGTCTTCCAAATTGGATTCTGACATCCCAAATGCACCAATTAGATTCACTTTGCCACCAAATAAGACACTGACGTTGAAAATCAAAGCATTATTTCGACTATCTATTGCATACACATTACACAGGCACAAAAAAACATATCATTGTAAAATCAATACATCATAAGCGTAGAATCACGATATAAATGTTTACATTTTAGATTTTGAGCGAAGTGATGAAATGTTGGTAATAACTTCGACTTACAAAAAAAGGATGACACATTCATGATTCATACATTATTTATATAATCTTACTAAATCAAGATAATATATACAAAATAATTAATGAATGTAATAAATTAATTTAAAAAGTAAGTATGTACCTCAAAGCCGTATTTTTATTTTTTGGGTGAAGTGAAAAAAAGTTTTTTTTTAAATGATCTATTTTTGTCTAAATACTAAATTAGATAGGTACCATAAAATATTCCTATATCCCAGGGTTGGGTGAATTTATGTATACATGTTTTATACACCATGATATATTATACATATGTATAATACATTTTTATACATGTATAAAAGTATAAAACGTATAAATTGTTATTTCTATTTTTTCTTTCATAAAATATTTAAATTATTATTAAATATTTTTTATACATACCTAGAGTACAAATAATAATTGTTTTTACTGTAATAATTGTTTCTACTTTGTCTTAGAAATCAAAAATTATAATTTGTAAATGATAATTTAAAATTAATGTGATAAGTGAATAACTAATAAGTAATAACTGATAATAAGCAATTAAATAACTGATTTATTGATATTAACTGTGTGACCATTTATCACAATAAAATTATATTTTATAGTTACAATAATTGGATTTTATATTAGTTTACATCGATGATGTATAAAATATAGAATATGTATTATACACAAATTATACATTTATGTATAATACGTGCCAACCCTGCTATATTCCTATAATTATCTTGTGGCTTGTTCCATCTATAGCCATATGCTAAAATTAGAAATACCATCTTTATAATTTTATTACGTAGTAAAATGTAGGTACCTATCTAAATATTCAACTCTGTAAAATAGCATTGTTTCACCGATTTATTATTAGATCAATCTATTATCTATATTATATAATAGAAGCCCATTTTTTATTTTGTTGTATGTAATATTTAGTTTAAATATTAGTTTTGACTTACCTACCTATCACAATTGTCTGGGTCTTGGGGAACGTTTTAAATGTTTTCATGTATAATACGATTAATATATCTTAGAAAAATCACAAAAACAATAAAATTGTAGAAATAATCTATATGACTATATCTATAATATATAAATAAAAATTAAATGTTGTTCGTTAGTAATCTCACCACTTGAGAAGAGCTGGATCGATTTGGATCATTATTTTAAAAAATGTACGTAATAGTCCAAATAGTGTTTTTATGGAAAGAAAAATTTAAAATAAAATGCATGGGAAATTGGACATTTTGGGAAAAACTAAAAGTGCGTTTTTTACTGACTGACGAATTAACGTAGAGCCTAAACTATGATAGCTGGGGCCTGTTTCATAAAAAAAACACGGTGCATCCGAATTGCATGCCAAAAAAATAAATATAAATCGGGTCGTCCGAATTGCATGCCGTCTCTTGGAGAGGTCTGTCCGAATTGCCTGCCGTCTCTTGGAGGGGTCTGTCCGAATTGCATGCCGTCTCTTGAATCTCTTTATTAATCTGTTGTGAAACAGACCGAGACCACAATACACTACATTACTCCAATATAGATACTGTTTGGGAAAATATTTACACTGATATAAAAATATTTCAATCCAGAAACTAATCACTAAACAGTTGTAACAACCATACATAAAAGAGCGTTTCTATACATGCATTTTTTTTAAAAAAAATTAGGAAAGTCCAAAAAAAAGTTTAAGTTGTTTAAGTGCATAGTAAATAAACGTGTGGTGTACGGCATGGAATCTGGACAAAGCCCTCTAAGAGATGGCATGCAATTCGGACAGACCCCTCCAAGAGATGGCACGCAATTCGGACAAGCCCCTACAAGAGACGGCATGCAATTTGGACATTTTTTTTTTTTGGCATGCAATTCGTATGCAGCCAAAAAACAAGTTGTTTTTGACCATAGGTAAACTTGTAAATTTTATACTTGTGTTAAATTTGTGTTTCATATAATATACAAGTTGACAAGTTGACATAGGACAAGTGACAAGAGACAAGTTAAAAAAACCTGGAAATTATTGTTAAAAAAACTTGTATTCTGTTTCATAAACAATAATGACTTGTACAATATATTGATAAAATGATGACAATTTGACTTGTCCTCAAAGTATAGTTTTTTAAGTGACAACTTTTATTAATATAATTTTATATATATTTTTTTAAACATTTCGAGAATTATTTTTACAATGTGGCCGATATCCTCATCTTCAAATTCAGACAGCGATGACGAAAATATTATCGAAGAAGAATGTCCAAGAATTAATAATAATTTTATGGTTGAATATGAATGCAACGAACGGTTTAGAATGAACTCAGTGAAGTTGGAGTTTATTGTTAGCTGTATCGGGCATCTTCTAGTTCATCATACAAACAGAAATCATGCATTATCCCCTATTTAACAAATACATTTATGCTTGCATTTTTTGGGAAGTGGTACTCAGTATCACTCTTTTGGTGACATGCATGGTGTATCAAAAGCTATAAATGAGGTACTTTTTGCACAATTGGTACTATGAATACTACGGCCTAATAATATGGTTACTGCTCAGTGGCGTGTCTAGGAATTTAAAACGGTGGGTCAGAGACATTTTGTAGAGGCCATCCTTTTTTAGAGGTCACGCAACTTTTTTAAAAGCAAGTTATATTTATTTAAACAAAAATGTCCTCATACCTCTTTAACTCGAATCATGACTTAGTGCTTTAAATAAAAAATATGTTATACCTACTCATACATGTTTTTTTGTGAAAAACAATATAAATAAATGATACAAAAGGTTATCAATTTTAAAATGTAAATAATTCTACGTCTTCTATAATTCTAACTACCTTAAAATGGTAATTATTTAAAGACCTTCATAATAAATTATGAAATTTTTAAAACCATTAATAATATA